CTCTCTCTCTCTCTCACACATATATTTGAAAAAATTAGAAGGAATAAACCATACAAGAATCCTCCCACCCCCCTCCGCCCTCCCCCCAACATAAAACTACAAAACGCTCACACACCGTGGGGCTGATATCCAGCACACACATCTTGCCAGACTTCACCACATCCCAAGCGGAGTCGACCCGCGTGCCATACAAGTTGTGGTTGAACTCTCCGTGTTCTATGTACTGGTTGCTAAGGATATCTCGCTCGATGGACTCGCGATCCGTGAAGTAATAGCCCTGGCCGTCCACTTCCTTTTCCCGGGGAGCACGAGATGTGTCTGAGAAGATAAGAGAAGGCGAGATTGAAATAAGATAAGTTAGATAAGATACATCTTTATTGTCCAGATCCTGGCACATTGGTTTGGTGTTTCACCACGTACACATACACACACACGCACAAATGCACACACACAACACACATACACACACATACATACACACATAAACATACACACACAGAGACTTACAGTCACTGAGTAGCGCCCAAATGATAAGTGGTAATACATTATTGTGTTTGCCCATCCAATGACTTTTCCAGCTATTCATGTGTGATGTGTGTGCGACCATGTACGTAAGTGTGTATGTGTGTGTGTGTGTGTGAGTGCGTGTGTGTGTGTGTGTGTGTGTGCATGTGTTTGTATGTGTGTGTGTGAGTGTGAGTGTGTATGTTTGTGTCTGTGTGTAAGTCTAAAATGAACTTCCTCTCCTTTTTAAAAGCCCAGAGGATAACAGCGAAGTGTATCATAACAAAATGTAATTTCAGCCTGCACTCAAGAGAGTTAGTTTATCTTACAGACTTCATAAACCTTGTTGTAAATCTAAACATGGACAACTGCAATACTGACAATGTGTGCGATAATATGACAATATGTCTTAATCTGACGACTTTCTGTCGAAACATTTTGAGATTATTTTGTTAAATGTGAGCCTGTGTAATTAAATTCAAAAATAAATATCCTGCTGGTTACTATTTAACTATTATTCATGCTAATATCATACATGACAGAAGTTGTATTCCCCTGAGACTGCGTATGACTTTCAGTCATTTCAGTCAAAACCATTTGGGTTTTTTTAAGTTCCCCCATTTTACTCCATTCCACATTCTCTGTTCACATACGGTTGCTTTTAAGGACATTAAGTGGGCTAACCCAGATTTCGGGGGTTTCAGAAACCTTGACCAACACCAAAAGTGGGCATTGCCCTACCTATAAGAAAAGTTTCACAGATGTGTATATTTGTTTGGTTCAAGAGAAAACTCTCCTTGTATTTTAAAGAAACAGAATAAGGGGCAAAAAATTTACCTTCGATTTTCTCAAAATAGCATTTTTCGGGATAGCCCCCTTGTGCTTAAAAGCGACCATATAGAGTAGGACAAAACTTGTACTACCAAATTGTGACCAATAACCAAGAAAGAAAAGAAAATGCTTTAAAATGTAGACGGCAGGCCCTATTTAAAAAAGGTGGCTTTTGTAAGGGACAGGAATGAGAGATGGCACCTTCAGCTTCAAAAACTTGGAAGAAAATGAGTGCCAAATTAAGAATTAATCTAAATAATCCTGAACTAGTAATACCGTAATCCAATACCAGTCCTTAAAAATATGAAAACTGCTCAAAACAAATCAAAAACAAAAAATTTCACAGACGATTAAAAGTATTTCCTCTCTTCTAATTTTTTACCTCATAAATATGAACTCAAGTCTCCAATGTGCAACAGTGAAGTGCTTAACCACTACATCACAAATGCTGGTCCCTGTAAGTAAAGACAGTTGAGAAAAATAATTCACTTACGAGCAATAGGAGTTCCGAATCTCCTTGGGTCATCTTTGATAAGCCTCTCCTTCAGCGCTCTCCGTCCTACACCCTTCGCCCCAACAAGGACAAGGAAAGGACGCTCAAACGGCGACATTCTACGCACCTCCTCATAGATTAGCACATCAGCTTTATCATATTCTGAAAAAATCAGGGACAAAATAATCATGGCAATTTTTTCTCTACAGACTGAGACAGCGTCCACTTTTAACAACCTTCAAATTTAAATCAAACAAAATTTTCATCTCAGCGTAAAGACAACTGCTTGAATCCTAAATCAAATAAACTTTTGCCAATGTAAAAATTAGCATATAACTGATAATTCCCTTGCCTAGCTTGGAACAAAACAGCCAAGCTTTATTTCTTAGTCTGAAAAGAGCAATAAAAACCATACTCAATTTTCGACAAACAAGCATAATAAGAAAAACTGCAGCAAAAGCCAAATGCTTCCACGTAGCACTGGTCTAAAGGGAGAAAACACAGTTCGCTAAAGATTAAATAACTGCAACACCATGTCTACAGATGTGCTGCTCAAGCATCCCTCTACAAACCTTTGTTGTCTTTTGCATTATATTTAATGGTCCTCTTCTTTCTCTTGGTCAGCCCACAAACTGAAAGAAAATTTGTACAAAACATTCTGATTTTTAAACATTCAAACAAAAATAGTCAGAAGCGAACAACTCGAGAAAATTACCAGAGAGTTATAACTTTTCTGAAAATGAAGTATTACTAGTATTATTACATTTTCAGAGGGAAAATCACTTTGATTACATAATGAACATTGACATATTTAGTTTTAAATTAGTTATCATTACAGAATAAGTAAATCATTATCATAACTGAATGTGCTTTTTTGTTTCAGTAATTGTTTTACGTCGCTCGCAACTGCATACGGTCGTATTTTATTTTTAAAAGGTTTTTCCAAATAAATACCTTTTTTTCTCCATCCACTAACTAAACAACACCACTGGGCAGCCCACAGACCTTTAAAAAACAATAAAACTGATTATGTGAATCAGTGTCATTATGATGCAGAAAAAACGCAAGGGAGGAGTGGGAAGTGGTTGTTTGAACAGATGATTTGCCTGGATAGGTGGCCATGAGAGCAATATATAAGAACTGACAATAACAACTATAATTTGAAACTATTGTCATCTTATTTCTTTTCAAGTTCTGACAAGCAAAAAACTACAAGCAACAGTGATTTGACCCAGAAAGACGAATGCACTACTCACACAAACTGCTCTTGGAGTAGTCTAGGTCTGGGTTGACAAAGGACTTTCTCTTCTCCTCCAGGGCTTGGGAAGGAACGAGGCCCACGGGACCATTGATGTCTGCCAGGCGTGCCTGTGGACGCAACGTGTCACAAGGAGTAGTGTTAACCCTTCAAAGGACACACGAGTAAGCAAGGAATAAATGTAAACCTTTCTTTCATCTTGATTACTTAGTTTAGTTTTAGTAAGAGTTTTATGATGGCACTTGCAACACAATAAGGTCATATAAGGGCCGAAGAATAAATGTGTTACAAGAGAGTAACATACACAAAAAAGAAGGAGGAAAGATAAGGACGATAGATGTTGGATAGGAAAGAAGGAGCAAACCACACTAGAGCACCCGCCAAACACCCACATCTTGATTACAGATTGTCAAGCACACAGTGACCAAACCCCCCCCCCCCCCCCCCTAAAATTGCACCCACACACATACACACAACACTCAGGAATGTAAGCTGTGTGATAAATCAAATCCTTGTCATCAAATATCAGTAAGTGTGTGCATATGTGTATCAGTGCATACACAGTGGGAGAGCTCAACATCACTTTTGGGATACTTTCAAGTGCTCACTTCAATCGCAGTTGAGAGGACACACGGTGAACAATGAATGGCATCAATATTTGTCTTGTGTGAACCCCAACACTAGTGCAAAACCGTTAAGTTTCTGAAGTAATCAGCAAAGGCTGAAACTCACATATTGACGGCTGAGAGCAAGAAGTGACGATATCAGTTTTTCAGTTTCGAGAAAAATGACTTTGAAACTTTTACGATATTTAAATCTTTATGACATAGCAACAAAAAAAAGAATGGAAAATATCTCAATAACAAATTAAGCTACGGCTTCGATATTTACAGAGATAAAAGAGCTACTTAAAATCTCAATACCCATTTCAATTACTCCATTAATGCAAAAAATGAATATTGTCACTTCTTGCGCTCAGCCATCAATATGCAAGAGAATAAACCCAGATAGAAAAGAATACATGTAATTGAAGGAGAGCTTCTATTACAATCAGTCTCAGTTCTCAGTTGTAGATAAGACCAGTCCTTCAAGTTTGCAATGGCAACATAGACAAGAAAATTTCATTCCTTTGAAACCATAAAACAGTTCACAGAGAAAGAATGAAAAAAAGAAAACCTGAAATACAGATTACAATTGTCACATACAATGCACTGAAACAAAGATGTCTGCACAGAATAAACGCAAAACTTTCAGGATAGCCAGAACTTACTTTCAACGTGACCTCAGATAGTGGCAAGAAATATCTTACCTTTCAAATCTGATGGAAGAGAGGTGGTCTGTACAAGCTTTCCAAATGAATAGGGGCCCAAATATTTCGCTGCCTCAAAATTATCTGAATTAGAAAGTTCTATCTGACATTTTTGTGTCCATTTTGAGTTACTAAGACCATGAGGTCAGAAACCAAAAGCTCTATCTGCTCTATCAAAATCGTAAGAATATTTGAGTCATTATCAAGATATTATTTTAAAAATTGCATTAGGAAAAACTTAACATACTGTGAAAAGTAAACATTTTTATGTCAAATTTCTCAAAGCAAGGTGTTGAGAAGATAGTACTTTGTCAGTCCGAGAGAGCGATTTCCCCTAATGGGCTTCTTAACACTTTAAACCCAGAGTTTTTTCCACCGTTTTCGACAGTTTTTTCTAGTCACCTAAACCTGGTGCACTATGTTTCATTATAACCCCAAAAGCTGGCCTCCAACTTCTAAATGGCCGAAACATAGGCTTAGTCATTACTAAAAGACTTGGATCAGGAACATTTCCAAAAAACAAGCAAAAACTAGTACTAATTAAAACGAAATAGTTGTCACTAGTACTGGACGCTCACAGCATCCGATGGGGTTTAAAGAGTTAAGAAACATGCGGCTCATCCCGTAAGGAACCTCACCTGCCACCAGTTAGAGTCATCAGAGCTAAGAATCTCCAGGATGTCACCATCGTTGAAGGGCAGTCCAGCTTCTTTACACGGCAGGAGCCGATCCTTCAGGGGGTCCCACTTGAAGTGAGCTTTCATGTATACCTACATGACATAGAGCAAGACAAGTTACAGAATCATTGAGGAATATATGGCCCTCAAAAATTAAATATCAAAATGAAAGAACGTAGATTAGAACAAAAATATAATAATAATAACAATATTAACAACAAAAATAATTGCATTTATATAGCACATATCCACACTCTACAGCATGCTCAATGCGCTTTACAGCTATTATTACCCCAGCAGACTCTCTGAGAATGCTCAGAAACATTATCGGCTTCCCGGGAAGTTTTTTGTGCAAGCTACGGATTTCACTCGCTCAAACACTAACAAACGGACAAGATCTTTCACTGTCTATAACCGAAAATATAAAACACTTCTACCATCCTACGCCTTAACGATCAGAGCACCTGCCAACAACTTCTTTTATCCTCTCCTTAGCTAGACCTGACCCTATACAGCAACAGAAAACAGTTTAACCCTTCAACTATTAGGCCTTCTCTGTATACTAACGTGGGTCTGAGACAGTCACAGACAATAAATACACAGAAGGGATTAAAAAGACTTCCTCATTTTAATCTACATGTCACCAGCCAAAGGACAATACCACAGGTACTGTTGGACTAGCAAAAGAAAAAAAACCCAGCAACCTAACGTGTGTGTAGGCGAGCATGAAAAAAGCACATACTTTTAATTTTCGTAAGAGTTTTACGGCACTTGCAAAACAAAAAGGTAATATAAATACCGACGAATAGACAGATGTTACAGGAGAGTAACATACACTAAAAAAAAAAGGAGGAGAGATAAGGACGATAGATGTTTGCTAGGAAAAAAGGAGCAAACCACAACAGATCACCCACCAACCAACCACAAAGCATATCCACATCATATCAGCAATATAATGAGTAAAAGTAAAGAAAAGCCCCCCCCTCAACTTGGTTTGAGGGCAACCCCAATGATATCCCTCCCACAAAAGTTGAGAGAAGGAGAAAATACTAAGTCTCTTTTAACGCCCGTTTGAAAGTGAAAAAAAAACATCCTTCTTCATCATTCTTTTTCACTTCAGCGCTTTTTTTGTGTCTGTGTACTCCTCCTTTAATTCATTGAAGATGAGAATTCAGGACATTTGACAGCACTTGAAGACTTGCTGTGTTGGAGCATAACTTTGTTATTCATACAGATTCTTCAATTCTGTTTGCTTTATTTGGAATCTCAATGCAAGCAACAACAAGCATCCTATAAAATTCAAAATTCGGTATTTCTGATTTGTGTATGGTGGTTGGAAATGTATCACAACACTGCCTGTGGTCTGCTGCTGGTCGGACACATGTGTCCGCTTCGTCCTCAAAGAGTAAAATGATTGTACAGCGCTCAGAGCTTGTTTTCTAACAGGATAGAGTGCCATGTAATGCTATTTATCATAATACAATTTTTTAAATCTAACTGCCTGGTTCTTTCCTCTGGAAGTTCTAGAAAGAGGGAAACAGTGTCTTCTCTCTTTCTAAACCAGAAAGGGCTTTTTTGTGTGAATGTTGGAATATTCTTTAACACTGTGGTCACTTGGCGTATTAATGCGGCGATGAAAATTATCCATTCCGGTCAACTGGCGCAGTTCTGTGCCAGGCCCGAGAAGTCTGTTGCAGTCACTTTCCAGGCTGGGTGACCAGATGGGGTATTTTATACTGTTGGCTGTGTGACTGCAAAGTGTTAAAATAACCAGTCACACAGTTACATCACAACAGCAAAGAGATAAATCTTTCTGTCTAACTGACCGGTTCGGTCTTCCCGAATGTTCTGGAAAAGGATGACAATGTCTTCTCTCATTCAAAACCAGAGGGATTTGGGGTTTTTTGTAAATGTTGAAAAATTCGATAACCCTACCCGTGTTTTTCTATCATATCCATACAACGGGTGGAACTCTGTGCCACCACTTTCCAAAGAGGAAATTTACTTGTTAATCCGATCCTTACGCTTTGCATAGCAGTCTGTCAAAATGATTTTTTGAGAATAAATGAAAGTTTCAAAGAGATCTTTACACAAGAAGTATTCCAAAATGTGAAGAATACAACCCCAGGGGTACAAAATGACCCCAGGACATACGAATAGGGTTAAAATAACTAGTCACACAGTTACAGCAGAACAGCACTGATATAAATGTTTCTAACTGACCGGTTCTGTCTTCTGAACATTCTGGAAAGAGGGCACAATCTTGAGTGTGATTTCTGGGTCCGAGTCAATGATCATCTCCATCAGCTGCTCAGGCGTGGCAACAGGCAGGCCGTTGACCTCACGGATGATATCACCAACGTGCAACATACCTGCAAAAAAAGATTTATTCTTTTTTAATATATGTGAGGCATCGTGGTGAGATCAGGCACTCGTCTAAATAAAGAAATCAGAGAAATCTGCCTTTTTCTGCCAGTTTGGAAATTTTTTTCGAATTTTTATTATTTGGCTCAACACTTCGTATGTCCATTCAAAAACACTTCTATGTGAGGATGTTATGGAAAAACGTTGATTAAAGGCACAAAAAATGTAAATGTATAGTTTCCAAGGACTCTTAAGCTACGAAAGTCACCTAACTTTGGTGGCCATTTTCTCGCTGATTTTACTTCTGAAACAAGGTGACCCCCACCTCCTTCAATCTCAAATATCTCAGCTTCTATTCAAGATAAAAGATACTTTTTTTCTTTGAAAGCAAGGCGAAGGAAGAACCTTTAAGATGATACCAATGACTCCATATGCTCAAAAATTGATGAGCCCCTGATTCCACCCATCGTGACACATTTGTGTTTTTTATGCCCTTTCCCATTTACATTATCTAAATCAATTAGGAAGCAGGCTTCCTACTCTGACTGTCAGGCCAGGCCAAACCTGCGCTGAGAGGGATGCAACATCTCAGTAGAAAAAGTGAGATAATCTATAAAAAATCACCCCCCCCCCCCCCCTGCGATGTCGAGGACCTAACCGTTATAGCACACACGTCGTCTCTCTCTCTCTCTCTCTCTCCCCCCCCCCCTCACTCCGGAATCAAAATCAGGTCTCCTGGAGGTGACAGCAAAGAGCCTGACAGCTGCACCACAGACCCAGGTCTGCAAACGATGGAAATGCAACAATGTGCCTAATGTTTAGCACCCCTTTCAACACTTTACAATCGTTTTAGAGGTGGGACCTCCATCTTAGATAGGACCGTGTCAAGTAGAAAATTTCATCAAAAGCGTCTTTCTCAAGGACACAACTTGCACATGGGATCTCTGAGATTTTTTGTGCTTGTCTGAGAAGGCTAGCTATTCGATCTTACCTACCCGAAGATCAGGGATGTGGCTAAAAGACAGCATCAAGAAGGTGCCAGGAGTAACAGTAGAAATAGAACAGAACAGGAAAGGAGGTAAAGGAAATATTTTTAGAGAAAAAAGGGAAGGTTTTAAGCAGATGTAGGTCGATGAAAACTAGATACCAAAACATTAACAAAGTTTTTATCAGTTTTTAATACATGTTATTAAGAATATCTTTTTCTGTCTGAGGATAAACCTTAGGTTCAGGTAATATTTGCAGAGGCATTGCAAAAGATCCAGTTAGCAATGAGGAGGAAGAGGATGACAGTCATGAAGACAATGCTGTTGCCACTGCTGCAGCTGCTGACAATGATTTGTCTCGGTCGTCTTACAGCTCTCGCAACTACAGAAGGTCATATGAGTGCACGGGACACATTTAATAATTTCAATTTGGTAGGAATTAATTTTGAATTTTGCGCGGGTGGCAGCCGAAGCCTACTCTTATTAATTCTAAGACTGCCAAGGGATCTTTAACGTGCTCCAACTTGCAAACGGGACCTCCGAGATTTTGCGCCCTTATCCGAGAGGGCTAGGTGTCAGATCTTACCTTCCCTTAGATCAGGAGTGTGGCTGAAAGACAGCAGTAAGAAGGAATCAAGGAGTAGCAGTAAAAAGCTGACAATTATGATGATAGAGATGATGAAGAATACCTTGTTTGTCAACGATACTGCCTTGCAGGATACGAGCTACCACCAGGTCATTCATCTCATCCAGCTTCACTGTGATTCCCTGAAGGAACCAAGAGAGTTGTTTTTGCAGAGGTTTCACGGTGCTCGCAACTGCATAAGGTCATATGAGTGCCAAGGTGTGGATGTCAACAGAGAAGTCCTTACAGGCAATCAGACTTACTCTGCTCACCTCTCTAGCTTCAACAACACAAAGTCTGCTTCGACTATCAAGGCACCCCGGAAATAGCGGGTCACAAGACTGTGACAAACATACAAAAGAAGTAGAGGAAAATGATGATAGTAAGGTTTAGGAAAGAAAAAGCAGCAGTTCCCAGTTGTAGTTCAGGCACAGTTATGAGCATGACATAGTTGGATCAGCCCAATTACAATTCCACTGTGCATTAGAACGAGAAATGTCCCCCCTTTGAGAATGGCCTATAGACACTTCAGTCAGTGGCACCGTCCCGCGGGGAGGGGAACCAAGAGATACCTTAGTGAGGTTTTGATGAAGTTTCAAAGTCTACTATAAGACTACTTCCATTTAAGGTTCATGCATTTTGAATAATCTCTCTAAATCCAAATTTAGGGCTTCACAGAAGACAATTTGGTGCAGACCCATTTTGTTTTAAGAGAATTCTACTGAAAATACAAAAAAAAACAAAAAAACAACTGCAACACAGAGATAGAGAAATAGACGAAACAGGAAGAGATGGAACAGTGACGACATAAAAATATTATCCACTTTAATAAGAACAGAGACGTAATACATCCACGTAAAAAAAAACAGAGACGTAATATATCCACTTCAACAAGAACAGAAATTATCCACCAACAAGAATAGAGACGACATAATATCCACTTCAACAAGAACAGAGACAACATAATAAATACAAGTATATCCATTTCATCAAGAACAAGTCCCATGTTTTCTCACCAGGGGCTCCGTCTGCGACTTCCTGATGTTGACGAACCGAACCTGTTCTTCGATGGAAGAGAATACAGGAGGAGGCGGGGACAACAGCTGATGGGTTCTCTCGATGTCGCCCTCGAAGTTTTTATTGGTGATGTCATCATGGGCCACAACTAGAGCCTGGAATGATATCATTATGTTCTATATTAGTGTCAGAAAACATCTACCTCTAATCAATGTGAAGTGACCAGGGGGGAAATGGGAGACGCCAGTTTTTCAATGATTTGAATTGTGATAAAGGGTTAGAAAGTCTTTACGCACCTCTTCTGGCCCATCTAAGGGTCCAGGGCTAGATTTAGTTTAGGTAAGGTTTTACGCACCAAGGGGTGGATGTTAACAGAGAAGTCCAAATGGGGAATCAGGCTTACTCTGCTCACCTCTCAAGCCTCATCAGCACAAAGTCTGCCTCGACTATCAAGGCACCCCGGAAATAGCAGTTCACAAGAGAGTGATAAACATACAAAAGAAGTAGAGGAAAAAAAATGACGATAGGACGAGGAAAGAAAAAGCAGCAGTTCCCCTCTGTCTTGTTCCGGCACAGTATGAGCATGACAGTGATAAATCAGCCCATTTACAATTCTTCATGTTTTTGGCGGGTGCTCTGGTGTAGTTTGCTTCTTCTTTCCTATCAAAGATCTATCGTCCTTATCTCCCCTTCTTCTTTTTTATGTTTGTTACTCTCTTGTAACACCTCTAATCTTCTTGCGCTCATATGACCTGATGCAGTTGCGACTGCCGTAAAACCTCTACTAAAACTAAACTAACAGACAACTTCAGTCAGTAGCACTGCCCTGGTGGGAGGAGGTCCAGAGCTAAAGCCTGATCAGTCATTCAATATCAGGCATGGAAAATTAGTACTTTTTAACTATGGAAAAAAATGGGCTGTCAAGCACTTCAGTTTTGTTTTTCTTAAAATGCTACAAAGTGATATCCCCTGTTTTCCCCTTCTGCCCTTCATGTGTTTGTGCCCCCTTAATTATGCTATCAGACTTGTCGGGAGGCTTGGCTCCTCAAAGTTTTCTCTCTCAAACTTTGTATTTGAAAAAAAAATCCATTAATCAATTTTATACACCATAAAAAAACAGCCTTACTTCACTCTGTAAACCTAGAGTGGCACTGTCAGTGTTGATATTTAGGTACTGTAGACCCTGGAATAATGCTCCCAACATTGATCATCTTTATCACTATGCCCTTCATTCAACTGTTGGGCAACCCTTGATATGAGATTACTTAGTTTTATTTCCTGACCGAGTGAAGTCATTCAAAATCACAAATTAAACAGTGATGCTAATGACAGGAAGTCAAAAAGGAGGAAAATCATTGGTGCCATGACCAAACTAGGGGAGGAAGAAGTCCGTATGAAGCAAGCCTGGAAACGGCGTGCAAATGAATGAGAATCGAGAATAAAGAGAGCCATCCAAAAATAAAAGAGAGAAATCAAAATATAGTCACGCACAGTTTAAATGTGGCACGTGAGATATCGATGATGGCTTCGCAGAATTAAAAATTCGCGCTCGTTGAATCACATTTTCGCATACACTGGTGCCCCGACTTTTATGAGACTTGGAAGGACGCAATATCGAGGAGAAATTTCCCCGGAAGGCTCAAAACCCAAAATTCCTCAGATCTGAGGAAGATTAGCCTCACTGATTAAAGTATCTTTCCTGCCTGAGAATATTGACTTTGAAGTCAAAGTGCAGAGGGCGAAACCCAGGCATGTGTCTGTGGGGAGGGAACTTCAGGTTCAAAGAGTTGAGCTGACTTAAGTTCAGTTGGGGATTTAAACCTGAGCCATCCATTACATAGCACAAAACAAAACAAACAATCAATAACAAAATATTTTCAGCTGTAGCGTATGTGACAAACCCGGAAGTGGGGATTATCCAAGATATCCATGAGTTCCTTGGCAGTAGGCATGTCGACAAACTCTTCCAGCAGATCCAGCATGTCCCTGGTGGTGCCCACTGCCTCATTGTGCTTGGCCGGGGGAAGCTGGACCTCCAGATCCTCATGGACCTACACAGAAAGAAAGAAAAAGAAAAAAAAACAGGCTGTTTGAGTCGGAGAACAAAAGACGTGTTTTTTTAAATTAATGCCCAAATTTTACAGTGCTTGCTTCTACCAAAATTTGGCATAGCAGTATTGTGTTTAAAAGAGAGTATATATAAACTTTCCATTATTTCTAGCTAAAGAGGATGGATAAGATAAGATAAGATAATACTTTATTGTCCCAGGGGGAAATTGTTACAGGCTGTACAGTACCGTAAAAACACATGCAGGTATACATAAAAATTTTAACTATATAATATCACTCTCATTAAAATTCAGTATGAAAAGAGAAGAAAAGCTGACAAAATGTACCTATCACATCAGATGCATCATTCAACCACATGAAGGAATTTAATTACAAAATCTTCAGAGTTATATAGATACATACTCGAAAGAGCAAAACACATCGATGCTTATTCTGATTACAGCCTTATGCTAGATGGCAAAAAACTTCTTTTATATCATTCTTTCTTTGTTTTTAGCGGCACATATCTGCTGCTGCGTGACATATCTTACAATTTACGTGGAAAGGGGGTGTGATGAGCGGTTTATAATGCTTTTTAATCTTTTTTATACTTGTGGTGTTATACATTACATCAATTCTAGTAAAATAATATCCAGAGATCTTGCTGGCTTTCTTCACAGTTCTGTCAAAGTACAGTCAAACTTGCCATAAAGCAAGCTGTACAAGACCCCTTGCCCCTTTGCATTTTCTTTATCATCTGTTATGTCACTGTCCAAGACGTCCACCTGTCTAAAACAACCATCTTTTCGCCTGGACAAAGGGTGGCTATCGCGGACAATTCATGGACTGTATGTGTCATGAAATGTTAAGAGTTAAAAAAAAGGTAGCATTACAGTTTCCTCTTTTTTCAATAATAATAATAATAGAAAGCATTTGTATAGCGCAAATCCCCGCTCAACAGCAAGCTCTATGCGCTTCACAATCTATACTATTACCCCAGCAGACCTGGGAGCATTCTGAAACAACCTCAACTTCCAGGGAAGCATACAGTGCAAGCGGCCATTTATAGGCGCTAAAACACTAACATAATGACAAGATCTTTCGTTGTCTTTGGCCCGGCACTCATTCCCATCTGGGAAAAGTGAAGAAAATTCAAGTAGAGTGCCTTTCCCAATGACACAACATCAGGCCCGCGTCTCGAACCCCCGAACCCGCAACCTCGCGATTACGAGTCTGCTAGCCTAACCACTAGGCCACCAGCGCCAACTTCACGGGTTCTTAATTCTTAAACCTTGTGTTTCTCGCTTGTCTTTGCCCACCTTTCCCCGATTCCCAAAACTGAGATCTCAGGTAGAGACTGTGGTGATATTTGTTCACTTGTCTCGTCTGTCATGGTGTTTGTGTCTCTCAGTGTGTCACCTATCTGCGCTGTGTCTAGTGTCCATCCACTTGTGTATTTTAGTCAGTTTCTGTCTACCACTCAAACTAGTCGAATATTTTTTGTTTAATAAAGCCAAATTCTTAAGTATAGTTTGTTCATCTTGCTTTATGACATCTCCCTCTCTTGCCCTTTTAAACTCCCAGTGGAGCACAGGCCATCAATAGCATTACTCCAGCTAAGCCTGTCCTGAGCATCCTTTTCTATCTGTTTCCATGATGTCCCCACTTTTTCAATTTCCGTTTGTACCGCTCGCCTGCATGTCATCTTCGGTCTTCCCTTCTTACGTTTTCCTTGAGGGTTCCACTGATGCTTGTCGGGGGTCTCCTCAGGGTGTGTCCAGTCCATTTCCATTTCTTCACCTGTATGTCTTCCTTTACTGGCCTTTGGCTTGTTCTTTCCCACAGTTGAGCATTAGTGACTCGATCATACCACTTGATCCCTACTATCCTTCGTAGGCAACCATTTATGAAGCTCTGCAGTTTCCTTGCTGCTGATGCTGTGAGCCTCCATGTCTCAGAATCATACAGTAGAACAGTCTTCACGTTTGTTTTGAAGATCCTTAGCTTGGTGTTCAATTCCAGTTCCTTAGACATCCATATATTCCTGAGAATGATGAATGCTGCTCTTGCCTTTTGGATTCTGACCTTGATGTCTTCGTCTGTTCCCCCTGCCTTGTTGATGACACTTCCCAGGTAGGTGAAGGATTCAACATACGCCAACGGTGCCCCTTGCAGTGTGATAGGAACGTCGGCTGCATTCATTTGTAGAACTTTCGTTTTATCCATGTGAATATGGAGTCCAACACTACCGGAGAAGGTCCTGAGGCGATCTGTTTTCAGTTGCATCTGGGCTCAACTGTGAGCAAGAAGTGCCAAGTCGTCGACAAAGTCCAAGTCTTCCAACTGACTGGAAAGTGTCCACTGTATGCCACCACGCTGTCCCGATGTTGTCTGTCTCATTATCCAATCCACTGCTAATAAAAAGAGAAAAGGCGATAGCAGGCATCCCTGTCTCACTCCTGTATTCACTTCAAACGAGTCTGTCCGTTGCCCTCCAAGTAAGACACTGCAACTCATTCCCTCATACATCTTCTTGATCAATCTCACTAGCTTGTCAGGTATTCCGTAGCGGCGTATGAGCTTCCATATTGAGTCCCTATCTAAGCTGTGTCAAAAGCTTTCTCATAGTCAACAAAGTTAACGTACAGGGAAGAGTTTCACTCTGTGGACAGCTCCACTATTATCCTCAAAGTTGCAATGTGATCTGTACATGATCTCTTTTTACAAAAGCCTGCCTGTTCCTCTCTTAGTTTTGCATTCATGGCTTCCTTCAGTCTTTCCAGTATGGCGCGACTTAAAATCTTCCCAGGAATGGACAGGAGCATGATTCATCTGTAGTTTTTACACTCATGCAGGTCTCCTTTCTTAGGTAGTTTCACAAGCAAGCTTTCTGACATACACTGAAGTAACTTGTATTGACCCAAAAAGTATTGCATGCATAAAATATAATCCAATACATTCTTTGATACAGATTCTTTAGGCAATATGTCCTTCCAATCAAGTCAAATACTGCTGTGGTGTTTCCCGAATAAAATTTCTAAATGCTACTCATTTCTGATTACCGTTATGCCAACATAACTTTCTTGTATTATCTTGTTTTCCTCTCATCTGATAGCCCAAGCAAGGCTACGTTTCCATAACCTGTTGCCACCGCAAAAATGTAGCCAATGTCGATACCTTGTTATGGGTGGAAAAAAAAAGGAACTCAAATTCAAACCCAAGGCTATTGATATCTGCCTGCAACAGAGCACTTGGCATTGTCACTCACATCAACAATGTTAAAGAGCTTGTCGTCTGTGAGGAGAGCCCTGAGGAAATCAAGATCAGCAGGACGAGCCCCAACATCCAGAAGGTCATCTAGCTGGTCTCCCACCACCTCGATGGCTTCTGCAAGTATTCACAAGAGGTCACATTAGATTAGGAGTATGGAAAGTTGGTATATCAGCCTGCACATATGAAACTAGATTTTAGAACACATTTCTTAAGCAGTCCAAAGGTAACTTACTTTTGCAAATCATAATTCAAAATTCAAATTTAACTATAATTAAAACTTTAGTCCACAGCTCAATGCAAACAATGACAAGAAAGTTATGAATAGCCTGTATCTACTTGGTAAAGCTCAAACTCCAATAAACCAACCAAACAACACAAACTTTCAAAGGTTGAAGTTGGGGAGTGGGGGTGGGGGGGGGGGGGGGAGGGAGGAGGTATGGAAGTGAGCTTTGAAAAAATGTTTTTGACATAAATCCTCATATAGACAAGCTGCAGTACAAACATTATACACATAGCAGCTTTAAATATGACATATGGAGAGAAAGGCTTTCTGAATTCGAATCTGCCACTACCATTTTAAAAAGTGTACATGTATGTACATGTATACAGAGCTGCCAACAATCAGTGGCCAGTGAAAAGGAAATTTTTTATTATTTTACCAGAAACCTCACAAACAAAGTGAAGTTGGAAAAAAATAAAGTAGAAGTTGCCTGAACTGTGCTAGATTAACACAACATAATGAGCCGACAGTGGCAACAACAAAAAAAATAGGTAAAAGCTATGAATGAGCTTGTGATAAAATGTGAGGTGTGCGGACAAAAAGAGTTACTTCTCTGATTTTAGCCTTATGGAAATTAATACATTAACTTTATAAAGTTTGTACAATTTGTTAGTATGAAATAATAAAAGACAAGGTAGACTCAAATAAAATGGCATTAATGTAAAATCTATTAATCTGACGCGGGTGTCTTGGATTGCGAGAAGTAACTCATTTTGTCAGCGCACCTCACAAATTACATTTAAAAGTGTGCCGCTTTGTGTAGAGCCTATCTTCCCTCAACATAAACAGTTCAGTTTATAAACTTCACTTGACCCAACCCTAGGCTAGGCAGAGAGACCAAAAACTTTATGGGCGGTTGGGGGGGGGGGGGGGGGCAGGAGACCCTATGGCGAACAGCAGCTTTCACACTAGAGACTGAGGTGTCAGTTTAAAGATGAATGAGAAAAGTAAACTTCACTTATTACAAATATCTTGACATGGCAAAAACAGAACATGTGTTTTAAAAAGGATAAGCAGTTAACATGATATAACAGGCTACATTCCATAAGTTAGATTTTAACTTTACTCATATTTTCTGCGGTTGCACAAAAGAAAGTTGTTTACTTTCACTACTTTCACATATTAATTGAAACAAACTTGGATACTACTGTTACTGAAATATTTTTACTTCAGCAGCCCCCACCCCAAGGAAGCATATCCATCGAGTCCTTTAATATATCAAGAGCTATTAACATGGAAAAGAAAAAGAAATTAAGAAATAGATGTAGTTGAAATCGACACAATCATACAAAATACAATTGCAAAAACTAGGTGATAACAAACTGTTTTTGAAAAACAAACCTTGGGCACTCAGAGCCTCTGATGTTGCTGTAGGCATGGTGGAATATTCTTTTCAACAACACTCCTGTAAATGGATCAAAAAGAAAAATGATATTCCATACCTCAACAGTGCAAGCTGAAAGAACTTTTTTTAAACTCAAAAACATTTTAAAGTTTAAAAGAACAAAAAGAAAAAAGTGGAAGCAATTTACAAATCAAACGCAGAGCTCATTCTCAAGTCAAATTTAGTAATCACGCATCGTCATTTTTCTAAGATTGGGCATAAGATAGAAAAGAAGGAGAAGAAAAATTCAAAAAGGATTAACAAAGATGACCACATATGTCACCAATCTTCATAAAAGCCACAAGTCATGAAGCAACTAGTGCTGCACCCATTCAAAGAGCAGGGAAAAACAAAAGCTCCCTAACACAAGGGCTATAACAGATAAAAAGAGACCACAGATAGACCCTATCCACCCCACCCCATTTCCTTAAGTCTCAGAGTTGCAGAAAACTGCACATACCATACCAGAATTGAAAAGTCTTGAATTGAAGGGCTATCACTACTTCCCCTTGGGGTTATTGTTTAGGTAAGTGTTTTACTGTGCTTGCAATTCACAACTGCATAAGGTCATGTGAGCGTGCAGGACACATTAAACATTTTCAGTTTGGTAGGAATTAATTTTGAATTTTGCCCGGGTGGAGGCTTCTCTTGTCGATTTGGACCACCAATGGATGTTTAATATGCACAGCTAGCACATGGGACCTCTGAGAATTTATCGCCCTTATCCGAGAAGGCTAGGTGTTAAATCTTACCTACCATAAGATCAGGGGTGTGGCTGAAAGACAACAGTAAAAAGGAGCCAAAGAGTAGCAGTAGGAAGGCTGCAGAAAGAGTCAGGAGTCCAGAGGAAGGGGTGGGGAGCAGAAAATGGAGACAAAAACAGATGACAGAATATAGTTGTAGAGCAGGAAAGGAGGTGAAAGGATTTTAGAGAAGAATATTTTTCTTCGCAGTCAAGTTTTGAACACTGGACCTATTAAAACAGAGGCAAACGCCGTACCCTCTAGACCACAAGAGCCCCCCTCGAGGATAGAGTACTAAGAAAAAAAAGAAGACATGAAGCCCCCAAAAATTACTTATATATGCATTTTAATAATATCCATCATATATATTACATCAAACTATGGCTTCCGTTTTGCCCCTTGCTTTACCTCTGACACCAGGCCACCCCCACCTCCCTCAATGGCAAATGTCTAAACTTCTATTCAAAAGAGATGAGTATTTTTTTTCAACAAAAGCAAGACAAAAGAAAAAGCTTTAAAATCATACCAATTACTCCATATGCCCAAAAACTGGCAACTGCCTGATTCCACTGTGTCGTGATAAATATTATGTGCATACCTTCAGTACACACCCAGTACACTAAACATACAACAGGCCAACCTGCTCTTGCAACCACCAGTCAAAGACAACAACTTCTCACTTTGAAATTTTCTCTATATTAGCCAGTGTGATAAAATTGGGCTCTCGTCAAGATAATCAAAGTGAAGAAACTGGCATTTTTTCGCAAATTAGTGAATTTTTATCGGATTTTTGTTTTTTGGCTCAACACTTTCATGCCCATTAAAGAACACATTTCAGTGTGAATTTTACTGAAAAACGTTATTTAAAGGCACAAAAAAAATGTAAAATTTCAGTTTCCACCTACTATAAAGATAAGGAAAAAAACTAATCTTTAGCGGCCATTTCTCTCTTATTTTCTACCTCTGAAACCAGGTGACCTCCACCCCTTCATTCACAAATATCTCAACTTGTGCGCAAGTTAAGTGGATATTTTTTTCATCCAAAGTAAGACAAATGAATAAGCTTTAAGATGATACCAATAAACTCTACATGCCCAAAAATTGATGAGAGCCTGATTCCACCGTCACCATGGAATCCCATAGAAGTTGGTGAACCTCTTCAAGAGCATGTACAAAGGGACAAGTTGCAGGGTTGTACATGATGGCCAGCTCACTGACAACTTTGACATCAAGACTGGCGTGAGACAGGGATGTTTACTATCACCTTTCCTCTTCATATTGGCAGTCGACCGCCTGATGAAGGAAACCACCAGAGGACATAGAAATGGTATACAGTGGACACCAGGGACAGTTGGACAATCTAGATTTTGCAGACGACTTGGCGCTTCTGTCACACACCCAGGAACAGATGCAAGCAAAGACTTAAGTATTTAACAGCCTATCGGAGTCTGTTGGATTGAGGATCCAGCCCGGAAAGTCAAAGGTCCTAAGGGCAGATGCACAATGAAAGGAGTAGGTCACAATAGAAGGAAATGCACTAGAAGACGTTGAATCCTTCGGCTATCTTGGGAGTATAATTCACAGAGAGGGAGGAATAGGTGTTGAAATAAAGTCCCGCATTGGAAAAGCACAGGCTGCTTTCATATATTTGGGATAGGAATTGGAAGACCAGAGATATCTCACTTCAAACAAAGCTGAGGATTTTCAATTCAAAGGTGAATTTGGTCCTGTTGTATGGATGTTTTAGTTTAGTTTTAGTTTTAGTAAGTGTTTTACGGCACTCGCAACTGCATAAGGTCATACAAGCGCCAGAAGATTAGAGGTATTACAAGAGAGTAACACAAAAAAGAAGGAGGGGAGATAGAGACAAGATTTTTTTATAGGAAAGAAGGAGAAAACCACACCAGAGCACCCGCCAACCACCCACTGTATGGCTGTGAGACATGGAACGCATCACAGACTTGCATAAAGAAGATCCAGGTTTTTTTGAACAAGTGTCTAAGAAACTTACTGACGATCAGATGGACAGACAGGGACACCAATGAGGAAGTGTTAAGGAAAACAAGACAGATCCCAGTCAGAGATGATGTAGGAAGAAGGCGGTGGCGATGGATTGGACATACTTTCAGGAAGTCAGGCAGCTGCATAACAAAGAAAGACAACAACCACTCAAGTCTCTCAGCCTCCCTAATAGTACTTCCCTCGTCCGTCATAAAAAAGAAAAAACATTTTTATGAGCCGAGCCTTATGCCAAATCAGTCCTCAGCCTACCCCCCCCTCCCAGGGCAGTGCTTCAGACTGAAGTTGTCTTTAGGCCACTCCCTAAGGGAAGGATATTAACATGTTTTTCAGCACAGTAGAGTTGTAAATGTGCTGTTTAAAAGTGTTTTATCAATGTCATGCTCACACTGCTGCTTTTTCTTTGCTCATCTTTACTATCGTCATTTTTCCTCTACTTCTTTTGAGTGTTTGTCACTTTCTTGTGAACTGCTCTTTGTGCTGTTGAGGCTAGAGAGGTGAGCAGAGTAAGCCTGATTCCCCGTTTGGGCTTCTCTGTTGGCATCCACCCCTTGGTGCTCATATGACCTTATGCAATTTGGAGCACCGTAAAACGTAACTAAAACTAAGTCCTAAGCTTGTAATCATCTGTGCGGCAGTCCTAAGCCTATAAGACCATTTTCTTTTAGGACTCCAGAAGAGAATGGACTTTTTTCTACTTTTTTCAATTTCACCTGACCTTCCACAGAGGACTTTAATAATTAATTTATTGTCTTGTACCTTACTGACACCATGAGTATGAAGTATGAGAGACCAGGTCTCCATTGAGTTGAGGCAGGTAGCATGCATAAAGTTAGGAAGAATGGGTATTGGAAGCATTCAAATGCTCCCTCTCTCACATACATTTTTTGTACTCGAAATTTAAAGTTACTGCCGTTTCTATCAAAGATGGAAAAGTAACTAGCCTACTGATGATAATTCCAATAGATATCTATATAATATAAGGTAGCGTAAATTGCCACCGAGTGAAGCAATGTCAAGTCTGAAAACAACGCTCTACCTTTAGCTTTCTATTCATAATGTGTAACGAACACATGAATAAATTATAGATCTAACCCCCTCTCATAAGTTGATAAGTCATTTACAAGTAATTACACTACATTTCGGGGTTCAAAAGGAAATAGTAAAGGTCAATTTCCTAATGTTTTGCACTCAAATTCTTCTTTTTACATTCACAATGGTATTCAAAACTACTATCTACAGCTTATTTTTATCAGGTAATATCATTTTCCATAAATTCAAGCTCATTTGAAAGATTTTGTAAGACAAACCTAGGCTTCAGTGTATTTTGTACCAACACAGGCGATTCTAGAAGTAGGCCGCAAACACACACAAACTCAAGCAGAAATACGCTTCCATATATTATATCAGGGAACATAAATCCGGGGGACGGGGGTTAGGGAGAGAGAGAGAGAGAGAGACACACACACACACCCACGTACACAAGGACAGATAGGCGTGCGTAAGCGGAAGTTCACGCTGGCATCAATTGTCACCGTGTCACTCTGTGGCAATTGATACCATAATATAAAAAGATTAGTTAAAGCATCTCTCTCACTCTCTTCTACGTATGTGTGTTCTTGTGTTTGACTGTAAAATAGACGATCGGAGTGGTTATCCATACAATTGTGCCAACGACTCTGTCTAGTTATCCGCACAACATTGTACCCAGGGGCGGTTTGTTAACTGGGCAAGACTGGCGGTGCCTGTCAAATTTTTGTCAGCTGGACTGTCGACAAGCGATTTATTGCTGATGATGATTTTCATTCAGTTTTAAGTAATTCCGAATAAACATGTTTCAACATTCAAAAAGCAGTTTGCCGATTTGAAGGCATTCAAATAGACAAGTGGGATTCACTGCTGTTTTGTCGCGACAGAGCCTCATTCCTTCACCTTTGTTTATCGCACCGGCTCGTAACTTTAAATCGTCTCCCGTCAAGCCGTCACATCGCGGAACTTTGTACGAGGACAAACAAACACGGAGGGTACAACGATGACGTCAGTCCTCTGGGCAAATCCATCGACTGCCCTAAGACTAAGAGTGAATATAGCATCCCTTAATTGCCAAATCGGCCTCCGTGTTGCTTACAAAATCAGTAATGAGACTGTCTTGAGTCTTGAGCAGCACAGACACATGAAATATTTCATCAGCAATACATGTACTTATTATTCAACCTTTCTTTAACTATCATCAGAACATTTATTGTCAGCATGGCACTAATCTTTTTTGTTTATAGACTTTTTAATCACCTATAGTTCCTGTTTGGTGACTATTTATCGCTTTCTCCCCACTAATAACGTACCTGGCCCATATGAGTCTAGCCAGAGAAAAGAGGAATAGTCTAGTGAAGATTTATATAAGGAGAATTATAACGAGGAGCGATAGGCACACGGCTGTCAGAGTCTGGGCCGAAAACAATAGACCTACCCCCTCCCTTCCCTCCCTTTATCCATCGTCACCCCAGCTGTACACGAAGTTCAATAATTAGCATTTGACACATTTCCCACTTTGTTACAACAGTGTTCTGAAAAGTGTGATGAAGAACGTTTGATTACATAATGATGGAAAACTGTTGTGTGCTAACTTTGTCCAGCTTTGTATAATATCTGATTGTAGACTTAATCTGCATGGAACAGCGTCACTAGTACAGTATCAATTGACTTTTTGTAATCATACAGGACTGTTCTTATTACATATTTACAGGTCTAGTGCACGTCGATATAGCGTGTGGGTGTGTAGAAAGTAAAAGTTTTTGGTTAAAGTACCGGAGGCCATGACCAGCAGTTTATTGCTTCTCACTTTTAGTTTGTTTTCTAGCATAGAGACTCTATCCATCATACATTAATTATGATATTGTTTCTTGACACTACCATGTTTCAGCTCTTTCACGTTATATTAAAATGTTTACAGTGGTGGGTGTGAGTGGGGCAAGGGGTGGTGATGGCGAAAGTAGGGTATAAAATGAGGAGAGAGGGTGAGAGAGAGAGAGAGAGAGAGAGAG